TCACCAAAAATCTGACGGAACCCGCCTCCTGCGTCCGCCCTGACGCATGCGATCGGGCCTTGGAGATCTGAGTAAGCCGGTTCTTGTTGCGTCCGGGACTCCTGCGCACACCCACAGACAGAAAGACTTCGCAAAATAAAATCTCACTGTGTAAAATCGCCACAACCTCAACAGTCCACATCGAGTCGGGGCGACTCGCCACGAGGAACGTCGCGAAGGTGCAGCACACAGGGCGGTGCGGCCACGGTAGAACGAAGGTCGCTGGCGCCTCGCGTGGCCGTTCGAGAGCACCGCCGCGACGGACGAAGAAGGAAGGTGGATCGACGTGTTCGGGTCGACATGGAAAAGAAATATCAAAGAACAACGAGTGATCTCCGCTGAGTGATTTGGCGCCACTTTCCCAGTCTTGTTCCCAGACCCTGCCCCTGCGACCGATGGCAGTCTGCGTCAAGCAGCGCGGCCGGAGCTCGAGGTGCGGAGCCACCGTCGGTCTCGCCATGCTCATGCGTGGGAAAGCTAAGAGTCGGTGGTCTTGTTGTTTCGTTTCGTGCAACCAAAGGCTGTGGTACATTCTGGAGTTGTTAGTTTTGTCGTTTCCCCTTGGATGTCGCAAGTCCGGAACATAAACCCCTGGTCAGTCTGACGGGCTCTGCGCTACATCCATGGCTTGTCTAAGGTCCTTGTGATGAAACGACGATATCTTTTAGTTTGAAAGCAATTGCTAAAGCTATGGTTCCATGAATCAGCCTGCGGGATGTAAGTGTGTCCTGGGCATTTTCATGGTTGTAATGTGAAACATGGGCTGTTCAGTCTGAGAGCAACAGCTGCGGAGTTTATTTCTGTTAGGAGAAAGCCTTGCAACGGCGTTTTGCGACAATTTTTCAATTATATATATGACCTCATGTTTTTCCTCTTTTCAACCGTTGTTTCAACAAGTGTCCTGGCAGGGCCCTTTTTCACCTTAAAACCACGCTCTCAGGTCGAGGCCGCCCCCGAAGGGTGTCCTAATTTTAAAAGTGGTGGGGGGTATAAGGCGCCCACCTCCACCTCCCCACCCAGGGCCGGGGTGGCCACGACTACTACTACTTTTCCCAGTTCGAAGGGGGGGGGGTGTCCACGAGGACCACGACCTTTCGCAGTTCGAGGGCGGGCTCCGTCTGGAAGACCTTCGGGGGGTTTTGTGCAATGAGAAGTGGTCGCGGCGCAGCTCCCAGTTCGAGGGGGGGCACTGGTACTGCTTCCTCGTAGCGCAGCATCCCCCTTGAAGGCCTGTATAAGAAGGGATCGAGGGGGGACACGGTCCGACTAGCGCTATTTCCTCGTAGCACAGGCTCCTGCTGTAAGGCCTGCAAGAAGGACGCAGCGCTACGAGAAGTACTAGTTATCCCAGTTCGGAGCGGGGAGGGGGAGGGCGCCACGACCATACGACTACTGCCTCGCAGCACATCATCGTGCTTGCAGGCCTGTAAGAACAAGTCTGCGGTACGAGAAATATAGTCGTGGCCCAGCTGGTCTTCGCCCAGCCCACCGGACGACAACTGTTTCACAGCCCGAGGTCAGGCCAAGAAGGCCCGGAAGACAGGCAGAAGCACGAAAGACAATGGCTAGAAAAGAGAATAGCAAACAAATGACCTCGCTAAGCGGGGGAAGGGTGCAGGCCAGTTTTTCCCTGCAGATTCAGCAGCAGTGGATCCCAGTGCCCGGCTTTGTGCGCGAGCACCAGGATCCACCCGCACCTATAGCAGCGAGACCAAGCCATGCAACGAATTCGGGAAAGCACTGCACAAACAGGCTCGCTACACCGGAGCGGCCCACGCTGCGGCCACACACAACGATCGGATTTAGGGCAGGACGTAACAATCACACAGAAGGCTATAGTATCGTCCTCGTTACTTAGAGCGATGGCTTCCACCCAGCAGGAGCCACCTAGTGACTGCTCGTGATGGCATCCACCCTAGGGTCCAAAGTCTAAATCTGAGGTGAGTGGGTGGCTGCGTATACAAGTCCAAGGTCGGCGCTGGCACAGGGCACCCGTTAGAGAAAATACAGAGGACCCTAGAGTAGCTTCACCCTGTAGCAGCTTCCTACGCACTGGTCATGATGCC